CAGGAATGTAGTTCAACATCAGGCAGGGTTTAAGAATAAATTTCAGGTTGTGGTGTGATAATCGTTAGTTTGAGATTTTGTCCTGATCATCTTCGTCACCTCTCATCTTCTACAAGCACACCTGCTTACATTTATGATAGGATGTAAACTGAACTTTTTTTTTGTTTGTTGTTTGTTTTCTCTGCTTGTAGTGCTAATATGACGTATTCTGTCTTCTGCCGCAGTTTGTTTCTGCTTGTTTTACTGTTCCAGGCCCCCTGAAAGGATGTGTCATGTATGCATACTGGCCACCTCCTCTGAAAAGCACCCGGAAAGAAAACCGCTGGTTGCCACAGTCTAAAGCCATAAAATATAATCTCATCTGAATGAAATGTGCTAGAAGAACCCAGAAATGAAATGGAGGTGGTGAAATGGCACCTTTCTGAAGCTGCAGGAGAGGGGATGTGTTTGTTGGGGTTTTATTATCTACATCATGTAATAATATGAACCAGTGTAATTAACGTGGTGTGCCAATTTTGAAGGACAAGAAGTATGATTTAAGTTCTTGACACGTTTTCACAGGGCCTGCATAGCTATATTTGATTCTTGCTGTTATGAATAAAAAAAATGTAATAAAAATTTACAAATGAACAGAAGTAAAGAATGATTTTGCACTGAGACGTTATTTTCCATGTAGAAATCTGCTCCAAAATGTGTCTTAATGTGGAGAGGTGCTGCCAAGGCCTCCTGTGACCCAGACTCATTGAACAGCACTGGCAACAGTGCAGCAGGACTGACCTTCAGAGTCAGAATCAGCTTTACTGGCCAGGTGCGTTGGACGCATGAGGAATTTGACTCTGGTACAGTGGCTGTCAACCAACCAATCAGAGATTTTTAGTTATTTCTGCTTGATCAGTAAGTTTTATTACATTCTCATTTCTTGTAATTTCATAAGGACAAATATCTGAAGAGCTGGGCAGAGCATAGTAGAGCATAGTGGAGCAGGGAGGGAGCGCTAGACGGAGCAGAGTGGAGTGATTTGGAGGTTCATGATAGTGCTACCTTAGTTACATACTGTAGCTTTAAGTAAAAGTACTGACAGCAAAATAAAAGTATCAAAATAAAATTGGATTAGCTTAAATATGTTATAATATGCTATTATATAATATGTATAATATTACTTTACTTTTAATATTACTTTATTTGTTTCAAGTTGTTAAGTTGAAAAATAATACTTTGTATGAGAGGCTGAAGTTTAACTATTGATTTTGATAGTTTAACAGATGGTTTAAGTCAAAGTCAACTTCATAGACTTCTTCTTCAATGAAGCTTTCAGTTACATCGCATGGTCCTCATCAGCTGCAGCTAATGCTAGTTAAGATTGGTCTAGGTATAACCTCAGTTAACTTGATATTTTGATTGAGTTTTGTTATAAACTACCTTCCTTGTTTTGAACACTCTCTGCAGCTGCAGCCAACAGACCCTTTGCCTTAACATGTAAATGTAAATTTGAATTTCTGTGTGATACAAGCATCTCTTTTGTTACAGGGATGACATCTTTAATCTGTATCTCACACTGTCAGCCAGTGGCTGTGTTTACGCTGTAACTTGAAGTCAGTCTTGCTCATTTCTAACAATTATAATTAAACATTAACCCAACATGTTAGAAATATATTTTTAATCTTTCCAGTGTGCTGTTAGTGCGCATTAATTCTAATATTTATTAAAACCCCATTTTATTTCTTTCTACGCATGATGCACCAATTTGTTCTACCCACTGAAGCTTCTCATTAGGAGCAAAATGTTTAATTGACATAGAGATATGCGCCTCATAGAATGATAGCGTCTAAATGTGACTTAATACAGAGGCATTTTTAAAGGAGGAATTCAATCCAGTGAGGTGAGGAATGGCTTGAAATGTTGAGGTAATTCATTTAGTTAATAGCATGCACACACACTGCAGAGGAACATATGAAATGTCCTAAATAAAAGCACCCCCTGGCACCACCCTGTGCCTGGGTGGGTTCTCTCCAGGTACTCCGGCTTCCTCACACAGTCCCAAGACAAGCACCTTAGGTTGATTGGCAACTTTAAACTACCCGTAGGAGTGAGTGTGAGTGTGTGTGGTTGTATGTCTACATGTCATCCCTGTGATAGACTGGCGACGTGTCCAGGGTGGACCCCGCCTCTCCCCCCTTGTCAACTGGGATCGGCTCCAGTCCCCCCACGACCCCCATTATGATAAGCAGTATAGATAATGGCTGGATGGATGGAGGTTTGCAGCGGTTCTGTAATGTGACGTGTTCTCACTGACTTCAGTTAAGGCCAATCTAAAAACCATGCTGCTCATTCAAGGATGTGATGCACACTGTAGCCACCAGATAGCACCAGCTCTTTGTAAACCGAGGCTCACAGTGACAGTATCACCTGTTTGCCCATTATCAGAGCTGTATGCGTCTGTGAACTCACCGGATATATGAATTATAAAAGTATTTGGCTGGCTGATTGCTCCTTATGCCTTATCTTTTTATGATCCTAGTGCAGCCTAATTAAAAGAAATAATAGCAGCAGTTGTCAGGCAAAATGAGAGGGACAGATGGTCGGATGGAAATGAACCTCTGAAACATGGATGCAGTGAGCTGCTGGAGAAGTTGCCGTCACACTGCTTGAGTGTAAGTGGAAATGCTGACTAACAGGAAACTGCATGCAATTAACACTAATGCACTGCTTCCTTACATGAAATTATTTGCCTGGAAAAAAAAAACCTTCATTTACAGAAAACTGACTTTGTATTTTTCACATTCCATCTGACTCCTTTTCGCTCTTTCCGTGTCGTCTTGCATAAATTACTTTGCCTCTCTCTCCTTCAATCTGGTATCAGCTTCCTTTGCCTTGTCTTTTGTCTCCATGTCTCACCTCCCAGCCTTTGGCCTTCAGATCTCCATTTCCTCTCCCTCCCCTCCCTCCGTCTCTGTGTCCACAGGCGTTAGCGGCCGACTGTGTCGTGCTGAGACTTAATGAAGCAATGCTGATCTAATAATGGCAGCTTCTGTCACCCGCCTCACAAAGTATGATGTATGACCTCTTATCTCTATCACATCATGAATCTCACTTAGCACTGCCTCCTCAACGTTCCTTGTTTTTCAATTAGGCTCCATTTAAAACAACAGAATGTGGAATAATGTGTGTGTGTGTGGGTGGATTTGTGAATATAAAAAGACTGCACCCCCAGCCAAGTTGTCATGTGGAAAAAGAGGAGGGGGGAAAAAAGAGTTGCGCTGTGAGCGCTCAGCCATTAAGTCTCTATTAATACACAATAAATGTCATTTAATGAATTTCCTCTCAGGGGAGCATAATACTGAGAAACAATAAAAATTTAAACATTGTATTTGTGCATTATGCACAAACACTACAGTGATGTGTGATGTCTGTTTAATTAAGGGGTTAGAAGATAAGCAGCTGAATGATTGCTTTTTAAAAGTGACCCTATCTCATTATGAAGGCACTAATGAGAAAAGGAGGGAGGGAGAGGAGAAGAGAGTGAAAGTAAGTGGATGAAAGAAGCAGGAAAAACAACAAGAGAAGCTGAAATGAAGAATGAAGAGAGGGCGATGATGGCAGAAGTTTGATGCAGATGTGACGGTGAAGAGTGAAATGTGAGCCTATAAAAGGATAATAATGATGTGATCAAACAAAAAGAGGTAGTCAGCTGATTCCAGGGTGGGTACACCGTGATTAAAAAGACAGACACCTTACAATATCTTCTCCACTCTTTGACTCCTTTTCTTCAGAGTAATCATGTCATTAGTTTTATGCACCATCCTCCCCACTTTGACTCCCACCCTGGTGCCATCTCTCCCTCGCTGCTCTCCATCTGCTGAGTCACCACTTGACTTTCACTGAGTGCTTCATGGAGCACAGCTCAACTTTCTCCAGGGTCCAAGAGTGATTATACTAAGTGCGTTTGTGTGTGCATCTTTTTACAGTAAGCATCTGTGAGTGTGTTTTCCTGTGCTGATGGCAAAAGAGAGCAGGGTAGCAGCAGCAGGTTCATCTAATCACATCTCCTGGAAGAGGAGGGCTATCGATCGAGATGGTTGGAGTCCATCACAGAATTTAGAACTAACAGTCAGCTGCACTGCCAACAACAGGCCTGTGACGGGGTTGTGCTCTGGTGTAGTTGTGTAAGTGAATCCTGTACAGAGACACTTGGCCCAGTGTCTAGAATTTTAGAAAATGACTAACTGTCCACTGTTCTGTGAATGCGGGTATCTTCAGATTTGCTAGTTGTAGCTGATGGTTAACTCTGTAATACAACTACCTGCATACACTGTTAGTTTTGGTCACTGTGTGAGGCTATCACAGAACATGTTAAGGCAAACAGCTATCCTTAAGGCTTCACATTCAGAAACTTGGCCTTTCACAAGAGGGGGACAAAAAGCACGGTAGCACACATGTTAAGGAATGTCCGTCTGTGTGTAAACCTAACAGACAAATACCAAAGTTGCTGTTGACTGAAACATTTGTCAAAAGCTATCATATATGTTCCATAAGATAGTACAGCTGACACCAAATGCACACTTTTCCCAGCATTTTACTGGACTTATTTCAACATGTCGCTGCCTTTAGATCAATGCATTAACTGTTCTCAGCTGACTACAGTAACTGATGCTCAGTTCATGTAAATTTTAAGTTGCCTTTGTTATGGTTAAATCAACCCTTCTCAGCAAAGCAGCATGTGCTTCTGTTGTTCTGTCTAAATCCCATGTTGACTGCAGCATCGATAGTTTTAGAATCAAGTATTTATATTATTTAGAGTAAACATATACATATGTAGCAAAACCCTCAAACCACTTAAGTGCTGTCTAAATACAAGAGCAGCACTCTTTAATTGTTTATGTAAAAGTTATTTCTATCCTTTACACGAAATCAGCTGAATTATGAACTGTTAATATACACAGACCCAGTTTAACCATTCGTCCAGTGACA